AACAGTTATTCGATCGATCACTTCCGATCATTATAGATATTTTTCATTAAGATAACACTAAGGACTTGCTATTGGAATGTTCGTGGAACGTACTCTATAGAGACCCTGTCATGTTTGAAAGCTTTCGCAATCTGATCCTCTGAAGTCTTTCGCTTGAAAAGTATCTTTTACAGCACCCCACGTACCTACCCGAAATCTCAGAGCGACTTGATCCCCTTGGTGATATGGTCAAGAAGAAAAGCTGGGCAGATACTTCTTGGCTTAATTCAGCCATTGTGACCTTCTTCGTGGTGCCGCTCCCTTCTAAGATGACGTAGAGGGGAGGGGAGGGGGACGCCAGTGAAGGAAACGAAGTGGTTCTCTCGCTCGGCCTACACAATTCCGATCCACGTGCACGGTATCTTTAAATCAGGGCACATCATCGTTGCTGAGCATAAAGGAGACCAGTATTCGGCCCCAAAAAAATGTTGGAGTTCTCCTGTAGATTTTGGGAGAGGTTAGAAAAATGGTAGGTAGATCGTGAAAGAGCAGTTGGACCGAAAAAGAAAACTCGGGATTGATCCGTTTTCGTGATGCGCCAGCCATCTTCCATTCGAAATCTCGGGTGTAACAGACCTATGGGGACCCGCCTGCGTAAACTAATTCTTTTTCATTCTTCTTCCCCGGAAAAGTTTCGAGAAAGTCTGGGGCACCTACCGTTGACCAGCGGGAACTAAATATGGTTGACCTAAACAATATTGGGTTTACGATTTACATGTTATGACTTGATGCACGAGCACTTCGTCTTATTTACTCAGTTTTTTTTTTATTTTATTATTTCTTTCTCTTTTTTTCCAAGGTGGCAACTGCAGTTATATATTTGTGCTGCATATATTGTTTTTCTTGTGTTTTCTATAAGCTCTAGAAATTCAGGTGCTCCTCATATGTTGGTCGAGCTGGTGGTAATCAGACTGTATCACTGGAAGTCGACAAATGCTTCTCGAAGGTAGATCACCTAGTTTTTTTATTTATAGTGACACTACACCAATCATAGAATTCTTGACTCGTTTTTTCTTAATGCTTGGGCCATATTGAACTAGGTACAGTTGTTTTCGCTCCAGACCCTGGTGCGTGTCAAGAGAGCTGGGCTTGGAGTGGTGCCATCTAGCTCTCCACCAATCGTCCAAACGGGCAAGCGACCACAATTGGTGGAAAAGTGGCTGACACCGCGCCAAACCCAGCCCCCCTGACACGCCCCAGCCTCCGCAGCGAAAACGACTAAACACATGGGTCTATACAGCGTCTCAACCTATTCCTTCATCGAAAGCAATTTGGCTTATTGTTAGTCAAAAGTTTTTACTGAGATACACACAATTTGCAAGAATTTTGCCTTTTTTTACAAGTCATCTATGAGTCTTGTGGATTTTATACTCTATTTATTTACTTGTTTATTTACTTAGTTATTTTTATACTCTATTTATTTACTTGTTTACTTACTTAGTTATTTTCTGATTTGCTTCCTCATCCATTTATTTATTGTTTATCTGTATTGTTCATTTCTGTCACACATGGGGACATGAAATACTCAGGAACCATTGATTGATCGATTTCAGGGTATTATTGCCCATGAACTGATGCATGCACTGGGTTTCTTTCATGAGCATTCTCGAACGGATCGCGATCAATACGTGGATATTCAGGAGGACAATATCAGGCCGGGTACTGATTAATTGATTGTTTTATTATTTTTTATTATTATTGTTATTGGCACGTGGTGGTTCTAGAGCTAGAGTTATTTTCATGGGACTTTGAACGACAATGTAGCTGTTTGGGAAAGGTTTTGTCTACGCTGATCGTGTGGGCGGAGACACTGACTGTAGGGCATTTCTTATTGGCGCGTCCTTTCTTCTATGAAGGTAAAGGGGGAAAGCGTGCAAGTGAGCGAAGCACAGTGATTTAGGTATCTCCGCCCATATGACCAGAGCGGACTGTGACTTCGATGGACGTTCTCAAGCAGATTAGCCCTGTGATATGGGGGCAATTCCGGCGACCCGAACGATGCGCGCGGAGGAAGGCATTTTTGCACTTCTTGTCTGACTTCCATCAACGTGTGACCACTCTAGAGCAGCTGTTTCCGTGAGTCCTACACAACAATTGTGACGACGGTTCTACCATCGTGACTGCAGACAATTTCGCTCACAGCCTATCCACATGCCCCTGAGTTATAGGTTCACAAGACGTGGACTTGTGAAAACACGGAACTAGTGAAGGCTACGAAATTGCAGAATGCCCCCACCCTGTCCGCTCGCACCTGCTCCTGCTGACTATTCTGCTGCTCCATAAATTTAGTCACCTCCATGTAACGTAAGATCCGACTACCATACTCCTTACGTACAGATGCCAGTAACTTCGTCTCCGGCCTACATGCTCATAATCCGAGCATCCCAGTCGCAATCGTGTTTGCAGTGGGTCCTAAACGAAGCCCTTAATCTGTTCTCGTCGCATGGAAAAACCTACCGCTGTTTTTTCCTCGCTGCACCCACCCCCCAACCCTTCCACTTTTTACCCTGCAACTCAAGCCTATCATTGTACGTTCCTTGCTACTCTCTTATTCTTTACCCCAAAGAAGGCCCAAGTAACAGGTCAGACTCTGCGCCACACGATCATCAATTGCGCAACTTTGGCCTTTCAAGAGGAAGGTGGTGTTGAAACCTCGAGCTGGCATCGAACCTGACAACTAGGGCTGGCTGCGTGCAGACCTTTTTGTCACTGTACTGAGTGCTTCCATGAGTATTTCAGGTATGCTGAGAAATTTCGAGAAGTATCCGCGAAAAATCATCGATCCATTGGGGATGCCGTACGATTACGACTCCGTCATGCACTACCATAAACTGGCCTTCTCCCGGAACGGCAAGCCAACGATTGTGCCCAAAAAGCGCTCAGCGGAAGTCGGCCAACGATATAAACTGAGCGAAATTGACGCAAAGAAGGTGATTGCTGGTGTCCCAGAAGTTGCGAACCCATCAAAATGGTCATGGTGATTAAGGTGAACAAGCTGTATGAGTGTGGTGAGTATTTGGGTACCAGTACGACGACAACAACGACCACTACAACTACCACAACCACTACTGCACCGCCCACGACGTCCAAAAAGTCGAGGACGAGATCGCGCACACGAGTATGCTTGTTTTCAAATAATCGAGAATTCAAAACAGACTTAATCTTATGGGCGGGATGTGGTTTAGTCGAGTGGTGCCGCGCTGCATGATCCGGCGGTCAGATCTTGGATCCGCTCTCGCCGAGGCCAACCGAGCCTTCCATCCCTCTGAAGTCGCTCAGCTGGGAAGCTCAATGTGAGCCACTATTTTTCTTACTGCAGGATGAGTGTACCAGCGAGGATCTGACCTCGGAGGGGTGGGAGGTTTAGCTGGCCGAGTTTCCGCCTCATATTCAATGTCTCCCGTTCAGACGTCATATACAGTGATTTACGGGTGTTGAAAACATCGACTTTATTATTTTAGAGCACTTCGCGTCGTACAACTGCCACTACTACCAGGAGAACGAGAACCACTACCACAACGGCGGCATCCACGACAGAGCCGAAGAGAACGAAAAAGAGTGTGTTCTAAATTGGAAACCCCACAGCATCGAAGGGGTGCGATCCAGGGGGTGCAAGAAACGCTATGCGCAGGAGCTGTGTACCGCTCCTGCGACAGCCGCGCGGCAACACTTACAAGGCCGGCTTGCGTGCCCTGCCGGGTCCTCCTGACCCGCATCCGGGGACGAAATGTAGTCTTGTTTGGTGTGGATGCGGAGGCGTGTCGGGCAGGGAAGGGGTGGGTTCGGTGAAGCGTCAAGAGGTTTTCCACCTATTGTTGTCACTTTTCCCACTTCAAAAAATGGCGGCAAACGTGCTGGCGCCTTGCCGCACCCAGCCCCTCCCCCTGGCACGCCCAGCATTTGCCGAACAAGGCTGTATCTGTAGCTGGTCATTCTGGCAAGGGATGGTACATTGGTTGAGACTAAGGGGGTGGGGGAGAGGGTGGGGATAGTCCTCCGCGTAGTTGAAATTACAGTTGTGTGGTAGCGGAAGTTTTATTTATAGACTATAATTTACCTCTCCACTCTCAGGTAAGAATGTTGTCAACTCAGGTGCGAAGCCTTTAGACGGAAGAGGGGCAGCGGACACGCCACTTCCCAGCTTGCCTGCGTCCCCTCAGCAGGATAGGGTCTGCCCACTGACCTTCTGTTCATCTATCTCAGCCTCAGAGAGCGCTAACGAGGAGAAGAATGTAGGGCCTAGTCTCAACCACTGACCAACTGCCTCAGTAAACCAAACGGGCACCTTTGAAGGTACAGGAAGTTTAGTTGGTTCGTTCCGGGACGCAGTGCTCCAAGCTATAGCTCTACTAACCCACCGGCAACCAATATCAAGTAAAACTCTTTCAGAGTGTGAAGATCTGAATGCTCATTGTGGGATGTGGCAGCAACTCGGCCACTGCCAGCATTCTACGAAGTACATGGCACATTACTGCAGAAAATCGTGCGGAATGTGCGACGAGGAAGTAACAAGTGAGTCGAAAAAAGTCGCCGAGAACATACAAGAACTTTAATGCAAATTCCGCGATAGTCAGATAGGCGGAGAGCGACAACCATTGTGCACTCCTCAATAGCGCCCACTTTTTGGAGCATTTCAAGGAGGGTCGCAACGATGAGGAAGATACAATCGTTGGAAACCTCTGCCCATTTCTTCGCTCGTTCGCTTATCGCGAAATGTGCTTTCCATTCCGTAATCTGACGCAAGTTCTGCAAAAAGCCGTAATTTCAGCGACTACAGAAAAGCCGTATGGCAACAAGAAGGAGCGAGGAAGAGGTGGCACAGGAGAAAAAGGAGAACGAAAAGAGAAAGAGAAGGAAAAGGAAAAAGAAAAGACATGCACGGACAAGAACCTCTTCTGCGGTTACTGGGCGAAGATTGGAGAATGCAAAAGCGAAAGCAAATTCATGAAAATCTTCTGTAAAGCATCATGTGGGCGGTGCTAACGGAACACCGACCAATCAAAGAAATGCACTTGATTGACCAATTACATCGTCTCTTGTGCTTCATGCAATTACTGCCGATTTTCTTCCTCCATTTTGTTATGCATTAATTATTCGGTGATCGCACCAGCTCTTGTACATCTTGACGTTTCAGTCTTTGGCCCCGCCCCCTTTCGTGGTTCCGCCCCGTCTTTCAAAAAAATGACGTGCCCTCACAAATTTTATCATTACTGGAATATCTGATAGTAGCAGTCGCTCTTT